TCATTCGACACTTGAGTTTTCATACAGTTTTTCCTCGAATTTTCCGTTTTTCCAGGGCCTTTTCAGTCGGGAAATTTTTTGAAGTTGGATTTTCTTTATTATTTAATTATTTAACGGCTGTTTCACTATGTTATCCATTTAAAATTATTTTTTTTTAGGTAGCAACACTGCTTGTAGCCAACTTCCCTCAGGTTTCAATCGAGTAGGCCTTGGAATGTCATTTTATAATGCCTGACAGTGACATTTTTGACAGTCAGTCAATTCAAGTGACGCGTTTTCGTTTTTGTCCCGGTTTTTCCTCGAATTTTTCAGTTTTCCGGGAGTTTTCTAGCGGAAAAAGTGGTTTAAGAGTGCGGTGCTTCAGATTTGTGTCATTTTCAGCTAGAAATTTCCAGTTTTCAAATGGGGTGAGTGAGAAAATAGAGTATATTGTGTATTTACGTGCTGTCTGGTTAGGCTGTCCGAAATAATTCTGGGGTTTTTAAATTGTTGTGAAGCTTTCCAAAATGCTGCTGGAAAGTGTTTTTGGAACGTTCTAAATGGTTTATCGAAGTTCTCAAGTGTTCTAACCTGGCTTGAAGAGTTCCGGAACATTTTAGAAGTGCTTCAGTGATTTCTAAATTGTTCTGATAGATTTTTAAGTATTTTTAACTCTTATATTGAAGCTCCAAAGTGTTCTAGATTGATTCAAAAGAGTTCTAAAAGGTTTTCAGTTCTAAATTAAATCCTAATTGTTCTAGAGTAACTCGGAAGTTTCTAAATTGTTCCAAAATGCTCTGGATGCTTATTAAAGGTCTAAATTTCTACAGCAATCTGAATTCGCTGTCAAAAGACTTCTGAAAGGCGTTTTGTAACTTTTAATGTGAATCCTCAGATTCTGGCGTTTTTCAATGTTTCTGGAGATTCTAGAGTGTTTGAGTTTCTTGGGACATTCTAAGATGGTTCTGAATTTCCCAATGTTCTGAAGCGTTTTACGGCCATTTGCACCGCTATAACTTAAGGAATATTTAATCCAAGTGGAGCTTGAATGTGACTCTTGTAGAAACAAAAGTCACATTCAAAGCTCCACTTAGAATAAATATCCCTCAAGTGATAGCCGTGCAAATGGCCCTTAGAGATCCTGAATTGAATTTAGAATGTTTTGAACTTTCCAAAAGGCCTATTGAAGTTCTAAAGTGTTCTGTAGCATTCTAAATTGTTTCGAGTAACTTCTAAATTTAATGAGGAACTAATTCTGAGGGTAATTTTTGTAAACATCTTAAAGACGTCCTGAAGATGTTCACAAACAATATTCAAGACATCGTATATTACAAAACCCAACGTCTTTAGGACTAAGACATTCTAAAGACGTTTTCAACGAGATGTCTTAAAGACGTCTCTGAATTCCTTTTTAATGCATAAACCCTTCTTCAGTTTAAGTCCCGGTTGTAGGTACCTACCAAATAGTGTGGCTCAGTTGTCTTTAAGATCTATGAACGTCGTCTAAATGTTTTTTTTTTGGTGTTCAGAAATTCAGACGTAATGCAGACCTGAGAAAGACATCTGTGCTGCCTGGGATTGGAGAAAATTATAGTCCAGGATTTTTTCACCAAGGTATCATGGAATTGCCTGGAGTAAATTAGTTTATGTTTCTGCAACTACAACTAACGAACTAACATCTGCAGATATCAAGTTTCTGAAACAACTAAAGAGATAAAATTGCTTAGAGAGAAATAATTATTGAAGATAAAGGAAGAAGAGATAATTATTGTCTGTCGATCTAAATCTGACACTTTCCGCATGAGGAGCGAGGGGGTGAAGCTGATGGCAAAAACAAGTGACCATCAGCATTCTAATGTAGGAAGCCAACAGCTCACATTCCTTTGGAGTATCAGATTAAAATCGACGGATTATCGGTATTCTCGAGATTTCGAAAGATTTCGGATATTTATTATCGAGAATTTCGATAAATCTATTGGGATTTCGGGATTTCAGAAGGATTTCGGTTGGGATTTCAGGATTTCGGATAGGATTTAACTCTTCGCGATCATATTATGTTAAACAAATTTTCCCAGAAATTTATTCATCGTCCCTATGTGAACCTCGACTGCCGGTCCATTCCCAGTAAACATATTTTGTTCCATCAGGAACGAGGAACGTCCTATTTAGGTTCCCTTAGATCGGGAACCTTATCCTATCCTAAACGCTACGTCCAAAGTTAACATTTAGACTCATAAATAATACATTCCTAGTTAAAATCCTTGTTCAATGGAACCTAGTTAACACTTGACTTGATGCATTGCGGTCAAAATTTCAATTGATTGATGAAGGTTCTACACCGCATTTCCAACAGTATTTTAGGAACCTTCAATTGTATTTTAGAATAGTCATTTATATTTGAGAAATTTCCATGAATAATGACTATTCTAATATATAATTGAAGCTTTCTAAATTACGGTTGGAAATAGTGTAGTGTTAACTTAGTTCAACTGAACAAGGATTTTAGGTTGGAATGGTATCTACATGTATGGGCCTTTATAGTTGCCCCTAAAACAACTCTTTGGAATATTTCAAGAATGTCCCTGGAATATCCTAGTGTTGTGAACCAGTGAGTTCATCATTTTATTAATAACAATTATGTTCATTATTTCACTACATTTCCTCGCTTCAAAAAAGTCCACCATCAGTTTGGTTTAGTTTAGAAGTACTTCATAACTTATTGCATTGCTTATTTAGGTTTTGAAGATGTGCTGGCTGGAATTATTACAACCAATGTCCTGTTAACACTTATATCCCAACAAGATGTTTCCATTTGTCGGTACTCGGTACCTCTATTGCAGGAACCCAAATTATTGTAAATACATACATAAATATAACCCATGAGGGGTGTTCTTGCCGCTAAAGATAGAGTACTTTTCCCAGACCTAATTCTATTATTCCAGATGGTGAGAATTGCCCTGAAAATTATAAACTTAGTTGTCCTTTAGGTTACTTTTTAGTTTTCAGAATTGGATTTGGTAGTCGCTTTGTAAGATCAATAGCGAGTTGTAGAGGAACATTCCTAAGGAACGGTAAGTCGCAAGGGCACGTTCCAAGTACCTACCTACGTACAAAGTTGTGTTTGTTGGGTCCAGCAGCAAAGACAACCACCTTTAGATACTCCAGTCAGTCTCTTTTAACCATCCAGGGCCTTCAAATTTCATTTCCCAGGAGCTCTCAAATGGAACTTTGCATTTATAGCACCTAGGACGTAGAGTAATCTACTATGGCTATGAAGAATATCCTCAATATGAAGAAGAATCTTACTATGCCCCTACACATCACACCTCTGCAGGCTGTGCAGAGCCAGCCTGGCAAAAGGCTATCGGTTTCTGGGGAGAAGTAAAATCGGTCTTTATCCCACAACCTGGCAGAAACCCATCTCAGGCCAGGTCATACATACCGATCAGCAACAGAAACTGGTTGAAAAGCACATCAGGGAAACAGAGGCCACTTCACCCAAACCAACATGCTTTCCAACCAGGTAAATCATGCGAATCAGCTCTACACCAACTGGTGAGAGGAGTAGAGAACTCACTAGAAAACAAGAAAAGATATGAAGCTGACATGGAACCAAACCACCAAAAGCAAGATGACGTTGATGTCACTAGAAAGAGCGAGTGGGAAAACATGAGGACTAAAACCGTCAGTTGTACCCTGGATATACTACAGTTGTAAGACCAATGATAACATATGGTGCACTTGTATGCTGGCCTAAAGTAAATCTGAGAGAAAACCTAAGGAGAGGTAAAAACATCCTTATTTGCTCAGACAGTCAAGCATCGATCAAAGTACTCAACAGCTTTGAAATAAAATCCAAACTTGTTTAGGAATTTCAAGAGCCGGGAATAGAAGACAAAATTTAAGTCTTTGGATGCTATAAGTTTGAATCAAATGTAAAAAAATCAACCATTTAAGAACCAGTAAGTAAAGATAAGCAATTTTTGCACAAATATTCACTTTTACCTGTTCTTCCTTGTCAGTTTCAGGACTACTCCTTTTCCAATTGTAATTGAGAAAGAGTCAGATGTTTTTCAGACACCGTCAAATATAATTGAGAATAGTAGAAGTGTTGTGAATGCGTTAAATGTATTCCAGAAATCATCAAATGAGATTTAGAATAGATAAAATGAAATTGAGATCATGCTAAATGTAAAACTGTGGGAGATAGATAAGTAATCCAAACCACGTGCTTTTCGTCAAGGGCAAGCATGTCGAAAAAGTCAGTTATTAACCACCTTCAATGCGGAAAAATGGGGTAGATACTGCTACCAAAGAGTGCCATTTGGACTCTCGTCAGCACCAGAGGTCTTCCATAGGTGAAGGACTAGATGGAGTAGAAGTTTTTATTGACGATATTATAATCTGGGGCTCAGATTCAGCTATGCATAAAGACTTACTAACAAAAGTAAAAGTACAAACGTGAGATTCAATGGAAACAAGTGTAAATTTGGTTTAGATGAAGTAAGGTATGTAGGCCATATTTTTAGTAGGTAAGGATTGAAACCAAATCATGATCCAGACAAAAATTCCAACCAAATAGATGTATTTTCTGTCGAATATAATATTATATATAAGGGATTTAAGGAATTTGATTATTGGAAAATTACCTATACCTAGTTGCTGAATCTTTTTGTGGTTACACCTCTGGGCCCATAACCATTGTAAACAATAATGCATATGTGAAGCAGCAAAGACTAAACTAAAAACTTCAAAGTCAAGAAACTATCACTTATCAAAATATACAATAAATAAATTTCCTGCCCTAGGTATATAGGCGCAATTGACTATTTCCCCGTGATCCCGCCGGGGTTCGGTCCCGACTTTGGCGAAGCTTTTCAGCAGGCAGCAGAGCAGGAGCAAGAGGTTTCAGATCTCGTTCACGCGGCTCCGCCGAAAGTCGCGCGTTTACCTCTCTATATAGAGATCCTCCGACGAGAATATAGAGAGACCGCGAATTATTTTTTTTTGAAAAAATTACGATGATTCGAGTGTTGTGGTTGTTTTGTGCCCTTGCCGGGTTAACTTGGGGATCGACCTCAATGAGGCAGGATCCTACGGGAGACGCGTCCTGTCAACCGGACAAATTGACCGTGTACAAAGTGGTGTTGCACACGTTCTGGAGCAGGGAGACTTTCCCGAAACATTATCCGGATTGGAGACCTCCTGCTTCTTGGTCTAAAGTTTTCGGTAAGAATTTTCTTTGAAGCAACAGTTGGATGTCTTATAACAAATAAAACTATTTACTACAAAATAATAAATCAACATACATATCTAATTAAATCCGCTAGTAGTTTAACAATGAGAAATTAATATCTAACTAACCGCCAGGAGTCCAAACAACAACATTTTCGAGGATTATTATACGACTCCTCCCTTTATCCTTTATACCATGGATTATAATCCCTTTATATTTCACGTTTGCAAAACTTTGCCGACCGTTAATTAGAGTGGAACGAGCAACGCTGCAACTAGGAGCATAATCGACCGACTTATGAGTAATTTTATTATGCATTGAAGTTAAATTGCTACAAATATTAATTGAATTGGAGTGGATAATTTTCAAATAGGAGACAATCGAGAAGAATTGATGATAGTTTCAGTTCCAGAAGGATTAGTTGGAAGAAACTTTCTAGTTTTCTCATACACTTACTTTTACTGGGGAGAAACTCGAAATATTTTCCATAAACTGATGCTTAGATAACTGGACTCCTTTTCCAATTGTACATAGGTATGTGATTATGTGATTTCAGAAAAGGGAACATGTATTCCAGAACAGAGAAATTGAATTTGAGAAACGTAAATTAAATTTCAGAATAGGGAAAATGAAATTCAGATTATATGAAGCTGAAATTCAAAAAAGCAAAATTGGCCTATTGGTATAGCAATATATTAAGGCAACGTTCATTGATCATTACATGAATTAGTAAGTAAGTTATTTATGAAATTTTTAAGTAATAATAGATACATACTCTATCTATTTCTCCCAAATTCCTTTTGGAAAATCTTTTATTTTCAAAACGTTATTTCCAAGACAAAAACACAACCCTATAGCTCAGTTCCTTTTTTGTTTCATTTACCTTTTGTCGAAACACGGCACGGCCTTATGTAACAAGATTACGGCTTCATTAGGTTTTATGGGCCTTGTACCGAAACGCCTTGTACAAACATACCGAAATTAGGGGCGCCCCACACACACACACGTGTGCTTTCGGTTTTGCCTGCCTCTAATTTTTTGAAGCCAATTAGAACATTTTAATAAAAACACATTCGATATTTGTCCAGATTGTGTCCCGATTTCGAACATCTGGGATATTTTCTATGGACTATAGTGTGTTCAGCAGCTTTATTTTATTGTATATTGGTCAGCAAAATTTGGAATATTCTAATATGCATTGATTCCAAGACAGAAATATCAGTCAGTATGTGTTTTATCGGATTGTAAAAATCATAGCTCCGTTATTTTGAGCTATTTTTCCATAAAATTTTAGTATTTTGAAGCTGAAAGCTTCTTTAATAAATAAAAAAATGTTGGGTTCCTCCAAAGTTTTCAGATTTCCAGAAAAAAATTCAACAATTAGACCATTGACTCTAAGGCAGAAATATCACACTCAGTGTGTTTATCGGACTGTAAAAATCATAACTCCCTTATGTTGGGCAATTTTTCTATAAAATTTTAGCATGTTGAAGCTGAAAGCTTCTTTAATAATTGAGAAAATATTTGGTTCCTCCAGGTCTCCCAGATTTCCAGAAAAAAAAATCGAAAATTAGACCATTGACTCTAAGGCAGAAATATCATTCAATGTGTTTATCGGATTCTAAAAATCATAGCTCCGTTATCCTGAACTATTTATCCATGAAATTTTAGTATGTTGAAGCTGAAAGCTTCTTTAATGAACAAAAAAATATTTAGTTTCTCCAGAATCCTCAGATTCCCAAAAAAAAATTTAGGCTATTGACTCTAAGGCAGAAATATCACTCGGTGTGTTTATGGGATTGTAAAAATCATAGCTCCGTTATCCTGGGCTATTTTTACATGAAATTTTAGTACGTTGAAGCTAAAAGCTTCTTTGATGAATAAAAAAATATTTGGTTCCTTCAGGATTCCCAGATTTCCAGAAAAAAAATCAAAAATTAGACTATTGACTCCAAGGCAGAAATATCACTCAATGTGTTTATAGGAATCTAAAAATCATAGCTCCGTTATCCTGGGCTATTTTTCCATGAAATTTTAGTATGTCGAAGCTGAAAGCTTCTTTAATGAACAAAAAAATATTTGGTTCTCTCAAAATCCCCAGATTTCCAGAAAAAAATCAAAAATTAGGCTATTGACTCTAAGGTAGAAATATAACTAGGTGTGTTTATGTGATTGTAAAAATGATAGCTTCGTTATCCTGGGCTATTTTCCAATAAAATTTCAGTATGTTGAAGCTGAAAGCTTCTTTTTTAAATAAAAAAATATTTAGTTCTTCCAGGTTTTTCAGATTTCCAGAAAAAAAATCAAAAATTAGACTATCGACTTTAAGGCAGAAATATCTCTCAGTGTGTTTATCGGATTTTAAAAATCATAGCTCCGTTATCTTGGGCTATTTTTCCATAAAATTTTAGTATGTTGAAGCTGAAAGCTTCCTTGATAAACAAAAAAATATCTGAATTCTTCAGGTTTCCCAGATTTGCAGATAAAAAATCAAAAATTAGGCTATTGACTCTAAGGCAGAAATATCACTCGGTGTGTTTATGGAATTTTTAAAATCATAGCTCCGTTATCCTGGACTATTTTTCCTTGAAATTTTAGTATGTTGAAGCTGAAAGCTTCTTTAATGAACAAGAAAATATTTGATTCCTCCAAGTTTCCCCAGATTTCCAGAAAAAAAATCAAAAATTAACCCATTGACTCTAAGGCAGAAATATCACTCAGTGTGTTTATCAGATTGTAAAAATCATAGCTCCGTTTTCCTGGGCTATTTTTCCATGAAATTTTAGTATGTTGAGGCTGAAAGCTTTTTTAATAAACAAAAAAATATTTGGTTTTTCCAGGTTTCCTAGATTTCCAGAAAAAAAATCAGAAATTGGACTATTGACTCTAAGGATGAAATATCACTCAATGTGTTTATCGGTTTATAAAAATCATAGCTCCGTTATTTCAGGTTATTTTTCCATAAAATTTTAGTATGTTGAAGCTGAAAGCTTCTTCAATAATTAAAAAAATATTTGATTCCTCCAGGTTTCCCAGATTTTCAGAAAAAAAATCAAAAATTAGAGTATTGACTCTAAGGCAGAAATATCTCTCAGTGTATTTATTGGATTGTAAAAATCATAGCTCCGTTATCCTAAGCTATTTTCCATGAAAATTTAGTATGTTGAAGCTGAAAGCTTCTTTAATAAATATAAAAATAATTGGTTCCTCCAAGTTTTCCAGATTTCCAGAAAAAAAAAATCCAAAATTAGACCATTGACTCTAAGGCAGAAATATCACTCAGTGTGTTTATCGGATTGTAAAAATCCTAGCTCTGTTATGTTGGGCTATTTTCTCATAAAATTTTAGTATGTTGAAACTGAAAGCTTCCTTAACAAATAAAAAAATATTTGGAATCTCCAGGTTACCCAGATTTCCAGAAAAAAAATCAAAAATTAGACCATTGACTCTAAGGCAGAAATATCACTCAGTGTGTTTATCAGATTGTAAAATTCCTAGCTCTGTTATCCTGGGCTATTTTTCCATAAAATTTTAGTATATTGCAGTTGGAAGCTTCTTCAATAAATAAAAAAATATTTGGTTCCTCCAAGTTTCCCAGATTTCCAGAAAAAAAATCATAAATTAGACCATTGACTCTAAGCCAGAAATAACTCATTTTTTTCAATTACAATAAACTTAACGATATCAACCAATTTGAGCTTCTTTGAAGTATAATCAAAGCTACAATACCTGAGAATTTTGTTGGGGTTCAAAGATTTTGAAATATTGTACCTGAGTATTCATTTCATCATTTTGGTACTAAGCAATGACGTACCAACGCACTACCATCGACTTGAGATCAGATTATCACCAGGTTAATGTGCATGAACCAGATCGTAATAAGACTGCCAATTGCTTTTGTGACGCCTTTTGGGACATATCGTTACACGCGCATGCCGTTTGGCCTTAAAAATGCGCCTGCGACTTTCCAACGGCTAATCGATCGGTTAACCAAAGACAGCGGTACTATAGTAGCTATAAGCTTGGGGCAAATCGCGAAAACCGTGTGTTCGCGTACACACAAGTGAAGTATCTCGGACATTTAATCACGTCACAAAAGGATTTTCCTTAGTTACCAGATCTGCCACTTGGATTTGGAAATGGTATAGTCAAAAATCACTCTAACATCGTTTCCAAATGACAATTATTTCAAAAAAAAAACCTGAATTTTTTTCCTCGGACTTTCATTCAAATCCTGATACAGCTATTGGAAATCGCTCATATCTTGAATAATTTTTGAACAAATTGGCTCAAAGCTATATCATCCGAAAGATCATTAAATTCCCTCCAAAACTGACCCTGAAGTTTGTCCCAGTAGCTCATGAACCTCCTGAGCTATCAAGCTTCAAAGTTTAACTTTCCCCAAAATTTAGTCCTAAAATTATGCAATAGAGATAACGTACGAATATTTACAAATAGGGTCAGGGAAGAGGTAATAGACATATCATACTCAGTATGTTTATCAGATTGAAAAAATCATAGCTCCATCATGTTGGCCTATTTTTTCTTCAAATTTAAGTATGTTGAAGCAGAAAGCTTCTTTAATAAATAAAAAAATATCTGGTTTCTCCAGGTTTTCCAAATTTCCAGAAAAAAAAATCAAAATTAGACTATTGATTCTAAGGTAGAAATATCACTCAGTGTGTTTATCGGATTGTAAAGATCATAGCACTGGTATGATGGGCTATTTTTCCATAACATTCTAGTATGTTGAAGCTGAAAGCTTCTTTGATAAATAAAAAAATATTTGGTTCCTCCAGGTGTCCCAGATTTCCAGGAAAAAAATCAAAAATTAGACTACTGACTCCAAGGCTGAAATATCACTCAGTGTGCTTATCGGATTGTAAAAATCATGGCTCCGTTATCCTGGGTTATTTTCCCATAAAATTTTAGTATGTTGAAGCTGAAAGCTTCTTTAATAAATAAAAAAATATCTGGTTCCTCCAGGTTTCCC